GGGGGGTTGATCGTGTAAATATAAATGTGTCGTCAAGTCCACCACCAGCCGACTAGCGAGGTTTGTAATTGGCTGTGTCGGGTGGTGGCGGGTTTCTGTTTACTCAATCTAACTCCAAAAAAAATCGTTGATATTGGTCGCGAATACCGACCACATTTTGAACGGAGAAAAGTATATGACAGGCAATGTGTTTTGCACAATGGCCCTTCTTCACGTGCTATGAAGAAGGGCCATTGCCGAAACGTCGTCTATTATAGTGTAAACATTACCAGTGCAAAGGGCGTGTGGGGGGGGGGAACACGGAAGGCAAAGTTCGAGGGAGGTGGGGGGGGGTCACGCAAGGGGCAGGGGACCACGCCCAGAGAAATAATGAAGTAAGTTAATGAAGCAAACAACGAAATAATTAATTGATGAAACAATAACACAAAGAATGAAATTAATAGTTTAAGGAACGGCATAAATAAGAAAAAAAGTAATTAAAGAAATATTGAAATACATATCCAAATAAATAACTTAATTAATAATTAGATAAATAACAAAACTAAAGAAATAATTAAATGAATACCAAAATAAATATTTAAAGAAACACCGAATCAAATAAATAAGTTTCAAATGTATAAAAGAAGGGCGCTGGGGAAGGAAGGTGCGGAAAAGGGAATTGGGGGAAACCCCCAAAAGGAAATGAATTGGCGGGAAGGAAGAGAGGGGGGTGGGGGGCATAATGGGGGGTGGAGGGTACAATGGGGGGTAGGGGGGTATAATGGGGGGTGGGGGGGTATAATGGGGGGTGGGGGGTATAATGGGGGGTGGGGTGGAGGGGTGAAAAGGGCGGGAGGCTCCGGGGAAAATGAAAAAAAAACCTAAAAATTAATCGTCTTGCTTCTTTCGGTAAAGTCGCGTAAATAACAAGACCGCTTGTGTTGCGATCAAAACGTCTTTTATTCTTGTCAATTAATTTTTTATTCTATTTAACTATTTTTTATGGTGGGTTTTTTGCTTTTATTATTTTCAATAATTTTTTTTGAAATAATTGAAATTATTTATTTTATTATTTGCATTTTTTGTTTTCTATCTACGTGACTTTACCGAAAGAACCAAGAATATGAATTCCTGCAGTCACGAAAGTTTTAAATACAAATATATATTTTTGCATCATTAGACCTCCTTTGCCAGTACCAAAATATAATAATAGGAGTTTTCCCCTTTTTCTGGCAACAAAACGTAAACCTTTTTACGAAGAATCATGTCTGCATTAACCACAATACTTGTGGTCAAAATGCAAACAAAAAACACACTCTGATAAGATATGCATTGTCATTGAAACTGATTGGTCCACACCAGAGACGGCTTTCTTTTGAGCCTCGTCTCAATTGGTGCTAGACCAGAGGACGCCAAAAGGTTTCAGTTTTGTTTAACCAGGTAAGGCCCACTGCTAGATATTACTCTGTTTTATCAGACGCGAGCTGGCCACAAATGATAGCTCAACGAGGTTGGCTTATCACGTGGAAAATGTATAGCAGCCAAATAATCTAAATGGCATATTGAGTATAATAGACGTGTGAAGGGAAGAAAAAAACTTGGAGGATCCGGAGAGAAATCCACGCGACCACGGGGAGAGAACCACGGCAAACTCCCAAATATACAGCAGCAGCAGCAGCGGGCGTCGGGGTCGGGATCCAACCCACGACCTCCTGTATACCTGGCGAGTTGATGGCTGGAGTTTGCAGGGGAGGCACGGTGGGGGGGGGGGGGCAACGCCCCTTCCAAAACTGAACACCTTCATTGATTTATTTTCAGTAGTTTACAATAAAGAAACAAAATAATACTGTATATTTGAACCTTATGGCGGTACCCCGGCTCTCGCATAATGTCCGTGATGCAATCACTGTTAGTCTGTTGATGGTCGGCGACGCGGCAATCGACTCATCTCGACGAGCTGTACACGATGGCACCACCACGGTGCGTTCATGGTTTCGGCGAAATCGTCCTCGCTGCGTTTCGACATCGCGGAGTGTGGCACTTAATTCGGATTGATTGGTACCCCAGTCGCAGAGTGAAGTACACCCCTGGAAAAATAGTGTCCCAGAAATAATATATTTAATTGCCTCGGTATCCGCCATGAGGATCATATTCACCCGCGATTCCTAAAGTGATGGACAAAGCGAACCCCCGCCACCCCCAAATATCGAAGTGAAACTTCTCCGTGGGCGAGGTAGTTAACGTCTCTCCACCGTGGCGCCCTGCGGCTGTTGACGGCCAGAAGCGGCGGGCTTGTTGGCCGTGCCCTGCCAGAGTTGCTGGTGCCGGTGTTGATCGGAACGGCGGCGTTCCCCATGATGCCTGCAGGCAGCAGAGGGAACGTTGCGGTTGAAGTGACTGGCACAAGGGAAGCTTCCAGTAGGTGGGGCTCCGGTGCAGATTTTTGTTGTTCTGCGAAGCCAGGGGGGAGAGAAGCCGAACTGAACGGCAGCTACCACCCATTCTCACCTTTCACCAACAGCTGCGCTAACAGGAACGGGAGACTCAAGTGGTGTTTAAAAACAAATTGTTATATTAGTTTCACATTTGAACCTTGTCACGGTTGCTCTGAGCCTCTATGTTGACATATTGTTTGCCCGGTTGAAGCAATTCCTGACTCTTCTTGACATTGCATTGACCGTCAAGGAAAGTTATAGTGGGGCTTACATACATACTACCAAGTATAATCTGGACATTGTGTTCATTCCATGGGTGGAATTCAGATGGTACAGGACCATTTATTTCCCTACCCGTCTAGCCCCCCTATACAGAGGCCACCGCGTCGACAAGTCTCTGGCCGCAGTTCTCCACACTTGGCGATCATAGTTTTGTTACCGATGTTTCCATCTCGTCAGGATCAGAATATTCATTTGTACTGGAGGAGGAATCCGATGAGCTGTGAAGCTCTTTATTTCACAGATGTCCAGTAGGGGCACGGGGTCAGAATGCTACAGCAACAAACAGCACAACAACACGATAGGAGTGCAAAGTGTAGGAAAGGTATGCAAATCACGAATAAATAAAACAATATTAAACTAAACAATTTTTACTTCTAAATTTTGATTTAAAGCTTTCGTGACTGCAGGGATTCATATTCTTGGTTCTTTCGGTAAAGTCACGTAGAAGGGAAATAATAAAATTATATTTATATTATAACGTGGGTCGGTTATTTTATTATTTCCCTTCTACGTGACTTTACCGAAAGAACCAAGAATATGACTATTTTTACTTCACTAGGTAATGCCCACCGAGACATTAGCTTCTTTTTCAGAAACGACCTGGCTATTTCAAATGATAGCTCAACGAAGTGGCTCATCATCACGTGGACATTTATTGCAGCCAAATCAATCAAATGAGTGTTCTTCACTCATTTTCAGAGGGGGGGGGGCACTTTCGCCGATAAGACATCATCAGTGTGAGGGCCGCCGCACATTTGTAACCATTGGGGGTTTGACAGCGCGATGATGATGGGGGGGGGGGGTGTCACGTGTTGTTGTTGTGTATTGTGGGGGGCTGCACGTCAGGGGCCGCACTAAAGGCCACCAGAGGCCGCCAGTAGCCCGCGGGCCTTGCAATGAAAAACACCGCTCGAAATAGTCATAGTACCACTTACCGAAGGGGTGGCAGGGGTGGAGGGGGTACAGGGCAGAGCGTTGGACATTCAAGATCAGCTCAAGTGCCGCACCATCTGGGTTCAGCTGCACGACGCACAATAGACCAACAGTTTGCAGCTGCTTTGCTGGTAATTCGCTAAATTCGCTGGCAGAAAGCAGACCACAGTTCTCCCATCTCAATGGGCCCCCTCACAAGTTTAACAATGAATGAATCCACTGCCATTGTTTGGCCATCGATGCGCGCCGCAGTAATAATAAAATGCGCACGAGTGGAGAGAGCAGTGTTTGCATTTTACGGACGTGGCTATGGTGACGGTAACATGGGTCGGTGTCACGTGCCCTACGGTACAGATGTGTGGTTGGGCATAACTTAAGGATGACATAATTAGCTTAGCGATTAACACGTGTTTTACATCAAAGTGTCGTTTGGAGAAAAAAAACAAGATTCGGGACATTTCAGGTCATGTAACTGCGGCGAATTCAGTATTGGAAAACAAACAAAACCTGCAAATATGGTCTATGACGGAATATTATTCATGTTGATCAAGTAGCGTGTAGTTATGAGTTGTAACGAAAAGCAACGATGAGCCAGCACAGCTGACGAGATCCTGGGTTTGGTGCCAGTTTTCAACCACCCAAGAAGTTATACGGAGTTCACAAGCGTTTTTGCGTTGAACGTCTCACCCTGATCACCCAGTTACTGCATGTAGAAAAACATAATAATAATCATGCTAAATTCGGGTTTACACTACATTTAGATAAATTCCAGCTCTGAAGATGTAGTATACATCAATTAATATTATCGGTTTGATTAGTTCACGAATCAAAAGACCCAAAAATTTGGGGAGGAAAAAGATCTCACCTCTACTTCTTCGTGTGCCGTTGGACGGGCGGTGATGGGAGACGTCATCGGCAATCATCATGGCTGTGGGGGTGGGGGTAAGGGGGCTAATCAATCACAACTACAGTCGGCGATTGCAATTTTCTCGTCAATAATTTGACATACAATCATTGACTAATTGTCCAACCTCCTGCTGAGAGTTAGAAGTTTTCGGCCGCCAAGAGACGAACCGTCTTTGGCAGGGCCTATCAAAGGTGTGCACCCGCAGTGTGGGCTAAGGCGGTGCGCGGGAGTGACCAACGGGAGAACGGTTGTAACAGGTGAATTGTGAGCCGTGTGAGGGTTCTGTGCAAGAGTACGTTCTTCGCGTCGCGATACGACGCCAATTAGAGCGACCGCGTTCTATCGGCATGCATGACCCTTGGCAGTGGTCCACTGGCAGTGCGCACACGATTCTTTCTCATGGATCTCTCGCTCTGCCCCGCGGCCCCCCTCCCCCTCTTCCCCCACCGCCCCACTCTCTGCAGACCGGCGGATGAGAGTGCGTGTCTCGTGAAGCAACGGTCACGCGAAAAACGAGGCAGCCATGATGTCGGCCACGGCGGAACCGCAGTACGACAATGTGGAGAGCAGCCAGCAGCAGCAGCAGCAGTTTGTCGAGACGAACAACCGCTGGGACCTCATGGAGGAGGACTGGGACAACGAGAACAGCTCGGCGAGGCTGTTCGAGCGCTCGCGCATCAAGGCCCTCGCAGGTGAGCAATGTGCACGCCATGGGGGGTGGGGGGCGATTGGAAACCTGGGCCCGTTGTCCATTTGGTTCCCCTTTGATTCTCCGGAAGATGATGTACATGCAAACTCCAAATATACATCAGGCGTCAGGGATCAAACCCACGACCTCCTGTAAACATCGCCTTAAATCGGCAATGGCCTTCTTCATTGCACAGGGCCACTGTCCACAATTTTCACCTACTACAGTCATGTACGTACTTACGTTGAACTTCTTTTGCACCATATGTAGCCAACCGTGCTAATTGGCAGTGGGGGGGGGGGGGGGGTGCAAGTGACCTCTAAGCCCAAACACAGGAAAAGTAAGCGCAGCACTGACTGATAGCGATCCATTACTCACACCTGTGTGTATGTATGTTGAACTTCTTTCACAAAAAGCAGTTCTAAAGAAATTAATTTAAAATGTATATTTAAAAGTGTATTGTTCCAGTGGATTCCTAATATCGAAAGGAAGAGCGTTCCAGACGGCCACAGAAAGCGCATTTGAAAGTGTGCGATGTGGTGACCGTCTTTGTTCGGTGGTTAGCCAAAAGACGCTGCCGTGAGGATGACTGAAGTTCGCGTGATGGTGGTTTATGCTCCTTGGCGAGATCAGCAGCAAGGTATTGTGGTTCATTTGTGGCGAGCAATTTGTGTGTTATGACGACGACGATGATGATGACGATGCGACTGCTGTCCCAGTAAACATTCACCGTTGGCTTGTGGTTGGAACCGTTGGCCCAACAATGGCCCAACGTTCCACGGTTACTGGGGTATTATCGGATTCTCCAGGTGTGTTTCCGTTGATGTCACTTAAAATTGTGACTCGTTTTCTGCTCTGTAAACGTCATACACCTGTGTAAGGCAGTATCACCTGTTTACAGGGCTACGTAACATGTCTGTAAGTATTATGTTGTATGTACAGGGACTCCTCTACTTACGATCACTCGACTTAGAGAACAAATCTGTCCGTATGTCCAGTTGCCTTTTCGGACCAAGAGTCGTCGCGCAAAATAGATGGTGGTGGTGGCATCTGCATCTGCTGAACATGAAGAACCAGTGGCATCTACATCTACAGGAGATTATGCAACTTAGTGTCCATGCCGTACAACACGTTTGGAATCGACAGGAGTAACGTTAGACTTACAAACAAATCGACTTCCGTACAGACATCTGGAAACTAACTCATTCGTATGTAGAGGAGTTCCTGTATGTTGAACTTCTTTCGCGCTGTACGTAGCCAACCGATGCTAATTGGAGGTGCGGGGGAAGGACAACAAACTAAACACAAAAAGCATTTCTAAAGAAATAAATATCAGAGGATAAGAAGCCTTCCTTAGGCCTAACACAGGTTTGAAGAGGTCATTGTCGTATGATTAAATGTTGGAGGGCAGCTATTTAGATAAAAAATATTCTTGAAACAAATATTCTTTCAGTGAAAAAAAAACATTTATTTTGAGACTGACATAAATAACTTATTGGAAAATCTCCAGCTACAAATATCCAGCACATTGACCATCGCCTCTGATGCAGGAGTTTGGATCTGTTCATTAAATGGCTGAGGCTTTTACAAGTTAGATATTCATTACCATAACATCTAAATGTTTGAGATACGAGCAGCAGCAATTGAGTTATTGCTATTTTACGTAGCATCGTGTTTCCCTTGGCATGGTACAAAAAACACACATTTTTTTTCGTTGCCAGCGTATATCTTTGTTCACAAAATAGTTTTTCCCCCACTTAAGAAAATAACATCCGTTAAACGAAGGTTATACTTCGGCAGACATTTGGCAGCCCGCGATGTGAAGCTAATGCCTTTAGTTTAGCTAATGGAGACCTTGAGATAATGGAGAGCAAAAACAATACGTTCCTTCCCAGCTGATGGCAAGATGCTATCCGCTCGCTCTCAACTCGTACAGACTTCCATTACCAGTAAATGTCATTCACTCCCATGGGGACAGGCAAGAGCCGTGGACATTTTCTTTTATCAGCCACCCCTTTTTAAACGCGACAGACCAAGTACGAACACTCGGAGGCCATCTGGCAAATTTCCAACGGGGAGGAAGCGGTCACATCAGAATCAGAATCTTGATTTAGACTGGAGGAATCCGATGAGCAATGAAGCTCTCTCTTTCACAGATGTCCAGTATGGGTGGGTCAGCAAGTTGCAACAGCAAAATATGCAAGAACGTAGTGGTTAGCGCACTGCGCCAAAAACCCAGCGACCCAAGTTCCATTTCCGGTCACGTCTAACATCAGTGGCGATTATCAGAACCCTTCCCCTAGGTCGACTCCGCCATAAATTAGGACCTGGTGTGGCATGTTTTTACATCAGCAATGGTGAGACAAAGCCGGCCAGGGTGTGGTGCTGGCCACAAACATCCCGCCGTGCTCCGTGCCTTCCTTCGTAGGTGCTACTCGTCCACTGCACTTGCCCCAACATTCTGTGTGGGCTATACGGGGAATCTTCGTCTATTTTCTGTTCGCTTTAACGTCTGAGATTCGTGCACCTTTCTGTCCCGGCGTTTAAAAAAATAAATGCATCAGTTCCTGAAATTGTATCCGTTGAAGGAGGATGAAATGTCACGCTGGCGAGAAGCACACAGAGCCTCTTCAGTTCCGGTGTTCAACGCCCGGCTTGGCACACCGGTGAAATTCGAAGCATATAATTTACGGTGCATAAACCCTGTTATTGCAACTGTGGGTCTGTCAACCTCTTCTATTTATGTATGTTGAGCTTCTTTCGCACCGTACATAGCCACCGATGCTAACCGGAGGTGCGGGGTAAGCACAATAAACTAAACACAAAAAGCAGTTCTAAAGAAATTAGTTTTGAATCTAGATTTAAAAGTGCATAGCTCCAGTAGCTTCCTGATATCGGAAGAAAGAGCGCTCCAGACGGCTGCAGAAGCACACCTAAAAGTGCGCGATGAGGTGACCGTCTTTGTTTGATGGCCAGCCAAAATCTGCTGCTATGAAGATGACCGGAGTTTGCGTGATGATGGTTTATGCTCCTTGACGAGATCAGCAAGGCATTGTGGTTCATTTGTGGCAAGCACTTTGTGTGTAATGAGTGTATATCTTTTGATTTAAAGCTTCCGTAACTGCAGGGATTCATATTCTTGGTTCTTTCGGTAAAGTCACGTAGAAGGGAAATAATACAATAATAAAAATCTAAAACAATAAAAATTATCACGACTTTTCGACTGCAACACAAGCAATCATCATCACACCTGATGATGATTACCGAAAGACCCAAGAATATGAGTGTATATCTTGTTAGCCAGGAAGCCTAAACTGAGTCTCAGAGACCTTGTCAGGAGGGTCCTGCTTGGGATGGAGTCGGTGTTCGGATGCTGAGCGATGTGCATGCAGCTTTCCCAAGCACACGAACGTGACCCGGAAGTGGATTTAATACACTGATACATATCCACGCAACTACAGGGAGAGAGACACCGCAAACTCCAAATATACAGCAGCAGGCGTCAGGGTCGGGATCGAACCCCCGACATCCTGTATACCATACTCTTAGGTTTTTTCGGTAAAGTCACGTAGGTAAAAAATAATTAAAATTAATAAAAGTAATAATGGAAAAATAATGATGATTTTATTGTATTATTTATTATATATTTTTATTTCTATTATTACTTTTATTAATTTAAATTTTATTTTTTACCTACGTGACTTTAACGAAAAAACCTAAGAGTATGAATTATTGTAGTCACGAAAGCTTCAAATCTAGAATCCTGTATACCAGGCGAGGGAGATAACATCTCACCATTTCTGGATTTTAAAGGATAGACGCTCGACTCCTCGCTCTGCAGATTACCCTTCTCCTGCGAGACCCAGCCTGGCGAGCCCGATTGCGTCGCGAATGGTCGACGACTTTGCTTCAGGAGAGTTTGTGGCGATCTCAGACGGGTTACAGGGACATCGATACGCCGTGCATCAACAACCATATAAACCCTTGTCAAAGCCATCTCTTCGGCATACTTCAGCAACTGTTTTCGCTGTGGTGGTCCCCACCTGATGAAGGACGCTTGTGTTGCGCACGAAACGTCGTGATTTAATTTAGTTGTTTTCACTTTTTATTTATTTAAATATTATTTTATTTTTATTTTTTACCGACGTGACTTTATCGAAAGAACCAAAGAGTAAACATCTCACCACCTTGGCATTCTCTGTCTTCAAGAGTAAACGAGTGCTATGCAGTGGTGGCACGTGACAAGTTGAATTTGTATTATATTATTACACCGCAGCAGCATCCAATCACACGGATAACCGGAGTAATTTCCGCTGGTTATAAGCTTCATCACTGTGACCACCAGCCACCGTCACTATGAATAATGAGAGCGGTTTCTTGGTCGCGTTACCGATCAGCGGGGGCACTGCTCTGTGTGCCGCTGTGAGGGCGTTGCGGTGTTGCGCAAGCGGGTCAGGAATGTGGAGCCTGAGACCGTCGCTGATGAAGTCACGGCGCCTTTGCTCCGTGGCACAAAGTGCGCCACTGTTTGGCGCACGCAGCCTGGGGGACAAACGATTTGCATTTGGGGCATAAAATTGCGGGCAAAGATTCCTCGGTGGATAATGCAATTTATTCCTGCTTGTTAGTGACCGTTTGTTTTTTTCTTTCTTCTCATCTCTTAATTTCTTGCCGCCCCCCCTCCCCACCGTGCATTCTCGTTTTGTGAGTTGGCGACATCATGTGGCTGGGCTTGGCAGAGAGGGCTTTTTGTTTTCCACTCTGATCTAAGTCACTGTGGCGTGTGGCTTTGGCAGGCTCATTGAAAATGCATCAGTGGTATTTGAGATGGAATAAAAATGAAAGGAAAACGGATTAGTAGTTTATCAAATAAATGCAATGCACTTTGGATTTTCTATACTGCAGTGCGGGTATTGAAAAAAAACACCATGAATCTCAATGGCAGTCTTAACAATATTATATGCAGAAGTATTGAATAATGATTATGCAATACTCGGTTAGAAT